CCCCCCCCCCCCCGACTCTCGCTTGCTGCCCTCTCAATCACCATCTGCTCCTCCGCCTCCACCTGGCGCGGCCCGACCGATCAAACCAGTGGCACTGCAGACACAATAAAAACGGGAAAAAAAGCGACGGCCGCGCACACATTTCGCGCAGTTTCTCTCTCTCTCTCTCTCTCTCTCTCTCTCTCTCTCTCTCCCGCTTTTTTTTCTCCCTCACGAGCAAGAGATGACGAGCTACCGGACGCTTTTGAGAAGTTATTCATGAAGCGCCCAACGAGATTCCTCGAGCGAGTCGCGTATTTTTTTCCATCCCCCAGACTCGACGCCCAACGTTCTCGATATAAAAAATACACAGAGGCGTACAATTTTATGTTACGCGCGCACGTTAAACGTCTCGTTTTGTTCTCGAGCAGATCTCTCGCAAAATCGCTCGACACAATTTCCCGCGACCCGACGCGGTCATCGTTATCTCGTTAACGAGTGGTATGAAAAGCGTACGCGTCTCGGATGCATCAGGATGCGAAATCGCGATCGGCCGATCTTTTGTTTTTCCGAGCGAAAGGTGGAGCACGCGCCAAACAAGGGACCGAGCGAGCCGAGCGGGTATTGACCATCCGATATCGATATTTCGCGACGCTTTATCGCGGACGTGCTCGTTAAACCGATAAATGAATAATGAGCGTACTGTATATGGGATGGATATGGAGAGACAACCCCGGCGGGGGGGGGGAGGGGGAGACAAGCGCCACCGGGAGTGGCCAAGGGGCAGGAGGGGGAGAAGGGTGCGGTGAGGGGGGGAGGGGAGGGGGGGCGAGATGGAGTGAGCCGCGCGAGGGGGAGCGAACCAGCGAATCGAACAAAACAACGAAATCGAATCACTCGTGGTGGCCGCCCATACTTTTCATGCGTGAATTTTCCGACTGCCCCGACACGTACGTGCAGCTGCGGAATCGCCGGTAATAGCGTTAGTAAAATCGAGAGTAATGCCTGAAAGCGTTTACAATACGCATCGCTTCCTGCAAATAAAAACGTGGGGGAGAACGCGCGCGACCGCGTGGTCATTGGCCGACGATGTACGACGTAACGGGTCAAAATCAAACTATAACCCAACATCGTGACATTCTCGATTTCCTATCCCGACGCCGAGGGAGGAACTTTAAGAGGAAAATGTGAAAAATGCCACATTCTCTCTCTCTCTCTCTCTCCCCCCAGCAATGAGAGATGTCGATACGCTTAAGCTCTTTCGTAAACTATAACCGCTCTCGCGATCGATACTTCTAGAAATCGATAATTACTATGCGTACCTATAATATCCGATATTAAATGAGCCACAGTAGCGATTACCTTATTAATTCACGTATTATACGGCCAATCGAAGAACGCCGCTCGGTCAACGTGGCGGGCGTTTATGTAGCGCGCGATATATCCATAAACTATCCGGCAAGCGTGATTCCGGCTGACAATGATTATCGTACAGGTGTAACAGGAAAACGTAACAGCTCGGTTGCGGTCAGAGACGGCTGACGATGATGACAGTAATTGCCGAGAATTAGCGACGTTAATAACCTCCGGGGAGAACGCGGGAGCGGGGGGAGGAGGGGGAGGGGGGTAGGGAGAGAGGGAAGGGGAGGACGCAGACGCGTTTCGCTGCCTGGTGGACACTTGCCGAACCGGTCGCCGTCGTCGGGCGTTATAACGTAACACCGCCCGATAATTCCCGGGCGCCCGCGATATTTTGCTCTTTCGCATCGCCGGATCCGTTATTCATTCTCGCGTCCCGCGCTTTTTCTCCTTTTATTTTCTATCGCGCGCTCGCGCGACAACGCGCGCCCGGGCTATTAATCGCGGACACCGGCGTGGCAGGAGCGAGCGTGTCGACGAGGCGATGGCGCGGCACGGCACATTTCGATTTTATAAATACGAGATATACCGGATATATATATATATACTGGATCGGTGTACGCGCGCGCGTGTACGAGCGTGTAAATCGCGCGCGGTATAATGCCCGGCCGATAATATAATAAATCCCCGACGTCCGGCTACCAGAAGCGATAAATCGTAACCGAATTAAAAGTGACGGCAGATAATAATCGTCATTCCGATCCAGAAAAGTGCACGAGACCGTCACGTCGTATATTTCAGAGTGCCGCCTCGAGTGCTTATCTCGAGGATATCAGGGGCATAAAACGGCGGATACGACACGATCGTATTGCGATTTCCTATCGGAATTTATATTCCGATCCATCGCTCCGATACCACATTTCACACGGGCGTACGTATCTCGCTCCTCCACGTTCTCACCGGCACGAGTGTGTCCTCGTGAACGGAGTCTTGAAAGAGTTATGCTCTTCATTCAACCTTAATACGTAACTTTTCTGCGAGACTTACAGGCGGAAATCCACGTTTCGATCGTACAGAAAAATTGCCATTCGGGCTCTCCCCGCTGAAAGATAGAATCCATCTTCTTCTTTTCCATCTGTGTACTCTTTTACATACATTGATATTTTCTTTTTCCCACTTGACGATAGTCTTCTAAAAACATTATTTTCCATTCAATTTCTAATCCCCGAACCTGACACAACTGGAATCTTTAAAGGTACCATCGATATTTTTTCATTGCGAATTTTGGTAGATAAATTTAACCGTGTAAAGAGTACAAGGTACAATTTCGACTTCTACGATGGTAAAAACTCATTGTTGAAACTTCGACAAGTATATCAAATTTTTTTCAGATTTTTATATAATCGGAATCAATAAAAAAAAATTTATTTCTCCCAAGACTCATATTACTGACGGAAGAGGGTTAAAATTCATGTTGCACGGGGAAACAAAAATTGTTCGTTTACGCGTGACTAAACGAATTTAATTCTTTATTTATCCCCTCGGACAACTCGAATGTATTCGAGTAAAATATAATACGTATTGCCAGCGGAGGGATAAATAAATGACGCATGTCAAACGTACGTAGTATGGAAATTTATCGAATAAATAAGTTAAACGTATGCTTTCGATCGCGTAATTGCCGTTCAATTTCTCCAGTCACGTCCCATCTAAAATACTTGCAGACGCATCGACACGATCTCTCGGCGGTTGAGAATGCCTTGCTCGGGAAAAAGAGATAAGCAAGCTGCTACCTGACTTGCGTCGCTACTGGCACTTTGTGCCGTGAGGCGAACGCGAGAGGTCTTATTCATGATTTGAGGGACGCGTCCTGCCGAAAAAAGAGAAGAGGAGACGGAAAGAATAGGGGGCGGGGGACACAAAGGCGGACGGGTGGAGGGCGGGGATGAAGGAAATAACGGGCTCAGCTGTTAAATATTCAATAGACGTGAGCATTGCTCGTCGCTGCACACCCACGCCCAAGATAGATTATGGCGGAGTGTCGATGAGGGGAGGGGGAGGGGGAGGGGGAG